GTGTGTGTATGATGCAATACAAACTTACATGAACATGGATGGGGGTTGTTTACTTGAGCAAGTCAATGTTGTACATTGATTTAAATAAATTGAAAGAATAATAGAAGACAGACTATACTTATCTTCCCTATGAAGATGTCAATTTGACATTTAAATTTGGCAAATTAGAAGTATAAATGTGTGCATTATCCATACAATGTAACAGGGGCAAGGATATGATATATTTTCCTCCATAGAAATAGGCATTCATTCCTTGGATACAAATAAATCAACCTGCTCTCAAGTGGATCATAATTTACTTCTATTACTGGAACCATGTTCTCCAACACAATTAAAAATTTCTGTATGATAAATACAACATTTAGCATGAAATAGCTTTTCCCAAGTATTCAGTCAATGAACCAGAAGCTGATTGGTATGTCTGAAATGGTAAACTCAGGATTCAGAGAAGATACCTTCAGATGTGTAGCTATCTTGCTTTAGTGATTCCCCCATGGCAAAATAAACATATACTTTGTTCCCTACCTTAAAATCTTGTTATTTAAATGAATTTGAGTTTAGGTTTCCATTTAATATATAACAGCTAGAACTTACCCAGCATCAGAAGACTGGTTTAGAGACCAGTTCTTATTGTGTCCCATTTCTACCCTCTCAATCTTTGAGTCCACTCATCCTCTCTCCCTGTGTTACTTCACCCATCTGATCTCTAACAATAATTGACTTCAGTATTCCAGCTATCTAGAAATAAGCTTAGGTCTCTAGTCTGCTACCTCTGCCCTGTCTACTGTCAATGCCATTTTAAAGTCTGATCAACAACCAAAATATAAATTTCATTGCTGAAATTTTTCAGAAGTTAGAAATAGACTCATAAAAATTACATAGATCTATTTCTGAAATAATTAGGTTTACTTTCTGGTTTGGGGTTTCTTTTTTTTGATTCCACACTTGTAACAACTACCCCTTCCATAGTCATTGCTTCCTAATTGACAGAGCAAGAATGATAAATAAAGGTGTCTTTTGCAATTACTTGTAATTACCATATTGCATTTGTGAAATGTTACAGTGTCTTAGCTAAAGAACGTATTACTAAATTTCTATAACACAGCAAATCAACTGTTAGGTCAAGACATAAAAGCAACTTTTTCTGTCTTCTACACTTTGGAAAGCTAATATATGAAGATTTTTTCTGACTTAGGACATTAAAATACAGGGAGAGATTCCTTCACATCAGTTTCTTTTTCAAGGCTAACATTTCTTGAGGATCAAAGTTAAAAGCTTTCTGTGAAAAGACTACCATTTATTCATTTAATCATATGCCTATTTGCCATTTAGAAAAAAAGGAGAATTTGAAGGTTGAAAAGCTGGACCAACAGGAGCTTCCAAGGGCCAAGCCCATGACAGCAGCACAGACACACCATCAAATGACACTTAATAGAGCACTGGCTCTTCACAAATCTTCAAAGTATAAAAGTTTATCATTGATGGTCCTCTAATTACCTCAAAATAAATAGAGGTTGTTTTTCTTTTTCCCTTTGATTCAGTAACCTAGAGTTGCTTCTTAACCCTCTTGAGCGCTTAGCTTTCTCCTGTGGGAATCCCACAGCCTGGCAGAGACATAATGTAATATAAGAACAGTCAGTATTTGCCCATATGCTAGTAGACAAGACTCTTTTGTAAGTTATGCATGTGTGAGGATTAAGAAATATTTATAAGTAGATGTGAAAGTCAAAGAGTAGTTTAGAATGTCAGCTTTGAGTGCTGATGGTGGGAGAAGTTTTCTCTTCTTTGATGTGTCTTGAGAGGACTCCATCTTCATTTTTTTGTTTATAAGACCAAAGTAATAAAGTTATATTCTTAGGATATTAGGATAAGTTAGGCATTTTATTTTCTATTAAGGTTTGCAGGGGTAAAAGATTAGGATGATAGATCTGGACATCTCTCAAATATATATTTTCTGTGTGTGACCAGTTGCAAAACCTCTACACCTAAGACTTATGGAACATGGTAGAATAGGGAGTAGAGAGAATACTAATACATCCCTCAACTCTCACCAGCTAAGCTTCCTCATATATCAGAGCGTGATGTACACAGAAGGCCACAACTGACTAAGCTTTAGAGAATAAGAGACCTCAGAGTATGTGTCCCTGGACAGGACTCCTATATTAAACCTCACCCAGGAACAGCTCAGGAACCAGTGTGGAAGACAAGGTGGAAAGATTGTAAGAACCAGGGTTGGTGCATGAACATAAGGAAACAGAGCTTTCCAAGTCACTGAGAACTTCTCATATGAACTTGCAGCAATAGCGACAGCATGCACAAGACCCAGGCCGTTGCAATTAGACAAAAACCCAGCACAGAATGAGGGAAATGGGCAACATGCCCCAAACCTAGCCTAGGAACTATTCACAACTGATTACTGGTGGGTGAGGAAGGGAAGATATTCTTTAAGAGAAAGACTCTAGAAAAGCTGACTAGACTCTAGTGGATAAACTTTCACTGAAGGACATCTGGGTACGAATGTTTGACCGGATAGGACTTAGCATATATGACAGAATGCACGAAATCTACGGGGGGGGGGGGGTCTATCAAGGGCCATGGATGGAGGAGAGAGTTTAAATTTGATTAAGATCTATTATATGGAATACATAGAAATTCAATTAAAAATAAAAATTAAAGATTAGGATGATAGAGAAATAAATGATTGAGGCTAGATGATCAACCATAATAAAGGGGCGTTTGTTTCAAGTAAGTATGAATAGGTCAGTTATTAGAATTTAATATAGACATTTACTGAAAGATTGAAAATATAGTCTTCATTTTTTGGAAATAAGAAGAAATGGGAGAAG